AAGGGCCTGAGCAGAATGGCTGTCTTGTACCCTTAAGACAGCCTTAAGACAACGTTTTATGTTTTAAGCCTTTGTCTTGAGGTAACGCACAATAACTGTCTTACGTCTTGAGAGTCTAAGACAGTCATTCTGCTCAGACTTCTGCTCATGACTTCCGACACTGAGGGTCTGAACAGAACGGCTGTCTTGTACGCTTAAGACATAAGACAGTTAGTGTGCGTTTCCTCAGGACAAAGGCTTAAAACATAAAACATTGTCTTAAGAGTATAAGACAGCCCTTCTGCACAGGCTCTAAAATAACGCCCCGGCGAAAAAGTCGCGTCTCGATTAGCCTCGGGGGTTTCTTACGGAACTCGCGAATGGAGTTTAAATGGCCACAGGACCACAAGATACATACGTACGTACGTATATACGTATAAATGTAATACCGCAGCAATCCGGTCTCCTGCGGACAAAGTGTACCGTTTAAACGGACTACCGTGGCACCCGCCACGCTCACCGCGAGCCACGGTAAGAAATTTAATATCCGCGTGCAGAAGGATTATTTAAAGTGCCCGCTGGCTACGCTATCGGTAAAAAGTTTTTCAAGTAAACCATACTTGCCCCGTGTTTCCCCGACGTCGGCCGGGATTGCTCACCTCTCTCTCGCAGTCCTCCCGGCCGTCCCCCGCTCTCCTCCGAGCGAGTCTCTCAAGAATAACGTCCAAGTTATTTGCGCGAAATTTATCAATTATTTGTCAATCGCGAACGGCACGGAACCACCTGCGCGCGCGACAATGTGAGGCCCAATTTCGCCAAACGTAAATCTAAACACGCGGGACACTGTCACATAATTTGTATATTACACAAATGTTTTCACGAATTGACAGAGTGCAGAATCGCCCCAGCATCCTCTTCACGTTTGTCTATCTCTCTAAAGCAACAGTTTGAAAGAGACAAAGAGCGGAGTAAACCACGCTTAAAGTTAAGCGACGTCGGCGAAACCAGGTCTAAGTCACGCGGCGAAGTCTTGCAAATGAGGATTATGCGGTAATAAACGTGTGCGAGGGGGTAATTGAGGGAAAAAAAGTGTCCCTTAAAGCGCGTTACTGCCCGCGAAAGGGGCTCGCAGCTCGGTCGGGACGTTAAGCGGAATCAAATGTGTCGCGCGAGATTATGCGGGATTGTCTCCCGCTTGCCACTGTCTCGAGAATGCCATTACGTCTACGACGATGAAGGCCATTACGGCGCGGCAAGTACGTGTCGGGAGTATTTTTCTATCGACGCGACTTGCGTCTTCGGTAAGCGCCGACGAGCCTGGGCGCCGCCGAGGAGACGACGAGTTCCAATCGATTGCCACTTGTCATTCGCATATTCGTAGCTGTTCCACTCATCCGCCGAACAAAGCGTGTGCCTAACGTGTGTACGTGTAGAGGCCGGTGCAAAAAAGGGGGAAAGAGAGTGGAGGGAATCAATAAAAGCATTTACTCTACCTTCAAAAGAACGGATGGAAGAAAGAGAGAGAGATAGAGAGCGGAGAAGGGTGGAGATAATGAACAAGAGCTGAAGAGACCAAGTGGGCGGGGGAGAAAGAGAGGGGACGGGGGGATGCGGGGGTAGGTGGGAACGAGGGGGCGAGCGCGCCGGCCCGGTTTGATTTCGCCGGATGGGTTCGCAATAACAGTGCAAATTATTATTCCGCTCTCGTCCACGTCGATCGATATGTCGCTCCGGATCTATATATTGCGTGGCTATGATCTGGAAACCGACACCGCCGACCTTCCCTACCGAGTAACCCGCGGAATTAACCCAGGCAAAGCAGGACGGGACAGGGCGGCGGGAGACGACGAAGAGGCCGGGAGAGAAAGAGAGCGAGAGAGAGAGAGAGAGGGGGGGATTTCCAAAGAGAGTGTTCATGGAGCAGAAAAATATCGACAGATCGCATGGCGCGCGCACACGTGCATACGTACGTGCGCGCACACGACGTCGCTTTTAATAACCGATAATATTTAACGTCGGCCGAATTCAATTTGTAGGAAAAACAGAGGTACGCTGTTTCCTCCCTCGCGGGATTCGATCCTCGGCGATCGATTTTGCGGTGGCCGCATAAAGCGCGAAATGTGCGCGCGTCCTTTTCTCCCGCAGCCTCCCCCGGCACGGTAAAAATTCACCCTCGCCTCCCCTCGCTGTGGAAACAGGTACGGCCGGAAATATCGGCGCGTTACCTCGCCGCGCGCGCTTGAAACGAGAGCCCGTAGGAGATCGGGACGGCCTCGCCGCCGATTTTCCGTCAGACGATCGTGGCTCGAGATACGCGCGCGGGGCGAGGCGTCTTTTCGAGCCCCGGGTCGGATCCGGGGATTTTGCGGGAGGGAATCAGAATTTTACGGAGGCGCAAACAAAACGCGACACATACCCCGCGCATTTCCGCTTCCAATTTCACTTCCGTGCGTTGCCGCACGCGCGCGGTAACGTCGAAATGTTACCGAGATTTGCGACGTAATTATTTTCTAAAAACGATATCCTTAGAACCCGACGCGCCACAACGGCGGGAAATCCGCGCGGGCGGATAAATGATACCGCGTCGCGTTGTGTATCAAAGGTAACGCGCGAATTTATACCGATACACCTCGTTGCGGCGGCGAGGGGTGGGACGGGGGGGGGGGGAGAGTGAGTGACGCGCTCTGGCGCTCGAAGCCAGAAAAATATTGAAAAATTGACGGGCGCACGCTGGTACACGCGCCCGGGCTCTGTAGTGTTTAATAATGGATAATATTTGATACCAAATCCGCCCGCGGGCGGGCACCCCCCTGCCCTCCCCCCTCCGCTCCCCCGCGGGGTGCCCATTCGTCAATGCGATCGGGTATCAACTCGTCCCGCAAAACAGTTTTATAACAAAACTCCGAAATATAATAGAATAACCCTTTCACGATCGGTTGGACCGCGTGTCTCCCTTACGTGGAATGTCGTTCATGTCGATACATTTTCACTCGTACGCACGCACATTTCGACGTGTCGCCTCGTCTTGCTGGCGCGTTCGCGTCGCCTACGTTTAACAGTATTTAAATGGAAACGTTCGTGTTAACGTTTGAAGTATAAATCTTTCAAAAGGGAGGGTTTTTTTTCGTACGAACGGGGGATAAATTTTACAGGAGACGGTTTTCGAAGAGCGAGAGAGACAGAGAGGGGGAGGGGGGGAGAGAAGTTTCTAATGGGGACAAGAAGTGGAGCAGTATAATGGATTTCCAATAGTAAAATTGACAGATGCCGGTTAAAAATTTCGCGTATGTATAATAGCTGGCGCGTATTACGCGAATATTTACTCTTTAATGACGTTATAATAGCTGTTAATTTTATCATTGAGAATTACGCTGTTCGATTTACGTAACAACTTTGATTACTCCACTTTATTTCATTGTCGGCGCGCTTCCCGCCGATACATATATTTTCGTGCGGGCTCTCCCTAAATCAAATTATCGCAAAATAATAATTTCGCTAATTATCAGTAATGTCAGGTCTTAATTGGGCGAATCATTGGCGTGTTTCGCGCGCGGCCCGTTATCACAGGGGTATTTATCGCGGCCCGGACGCGCTGTCCGCAGTGAAAAGAGTCCGCGGCGCGAAAGCGGGATAATTCTCCGGGCATCGGGATAATAAATTACCCTCGGACAGAGAGAGTAGCGTGTACGATCGCGCGCCGCGCCGCTCCCTTTTATCGAAATGAATATTGTAATTTCCAACTGACTTTCCCTCCGCCACGTCGCGCGCGGCTCCTCCTTTTTTTCCTCCACCCCCTCCCCTCTTCCCTTTGTTTCTGTTGCGAAACCGCGCTTCCGCCACGATTTATGCCGTTGCTTCCTTCGGCCCGCGAGAAATTTACGCGCGCGGTACAGCCGGGCAAGCTGCAGCCCCGCGGACCGCAGCGACAAGGGGACGCGCGCGGTGGCTTTTCTTCCCCCCCCATCCCTCTCCGCCGAAACAATAATTTTCGTCCGTCAAAACCCATACTTAATAACCCGACAAAATAATTCCTCGCGCCCCCGATACGATCGCTTTTGCCCCCGACGGTAATTTCGCGTCCGCCGGGAGAGCTCGCGTTCAGCGGGTCGCTTGATTAAAAATTAAAAATAAAATTTACCCGCCGTATTTTCCGCGATAATGCAAATTTTTAATATCGCTACCGCACATCTCATTTGGATCTCGTCGTTTTTTCGAATGCGCTCCAAATTACGTGTCTCGACCCACGCGGCAGCGTTCGTGGGGTTTTTTTTCTCTCTCTCTCTCTTTCTCTCGTTGTTTTTCACCCACCGGTAAAACGTCCCGTCCGATAAATTCGTAACGCTTCTCCGCGAAGCTTTTCAATTATGAATACTATTACGTGCATACGTATCTCTCAAGTCTCTGTCTCCCCCCCCTCTCTCTCTCTCTCTCTCCTCTCCTTCTCTCTCTTTCCCCCCCCTCTCTCTCCCCTTCTCTGTGTATCGATCTTTGCTTATATATGCGTATATATATGCGCGATCTTTGTATCAATATGGTAGTACGTCACGTCAAATATTCTATCCTATGGGTTACTACTGCCGGTACGCCGAATGTGTACGCGCGTATACCGAAGTAGTATATCCGACAGTCGGGAAACTCCGTAGTATTTGCGTCTACTTCGTGAAACTCGAGAAGATAGTAATTTGAAGCTCTCGTCGGCCTCGCGAGTGTTTATTCCGGAAGTGCATATCGCGCGCTACACCCACGGCGCGCGCGACCGGGACATACGTGGAATATTCATAACGCTTTCACGCGCCTTCCCGCCGTTCCGCTGTAAATGACTTGCAAATGTTTCGCTAATTACAATAGAACCGGGGGGGAGGGAGGGGGGGGGGTGAGAGCTCGCTTAAGCTCGGTTAACGAGCGACGTCGAAATAAAACAACGCCCGCGGCAGAGGGACACGATACGCCGGCGAAAATGACCGCTTTGGAGAGATCTCCGCTATTTCGCACTTATATATTTTTTTTAACTGTTATTACAGGCAGGACTGCCAGCGAAAGAAGGCGGAGTGCGAGCGGTTTTTGAGAAGCAACGACAACTCTCCCGTGCCCGTCGACCTCCGCGTCGACAAGGTGGCTCGATTGATTGCGGACACGGAGAAAAGTACGTACACCGAGCAGAAACAATTTTTCAAACTAACTAAATAGATTTACTTAAAATTACTTTTTTACTGAAGCAAATATCCGCTCTGTTTATATGGATAAAAATGTCAAATTTCGAGTAAATCTACACGGAGAAAAATTTTCATCGGATAAACCACATTGATTAGTGTTTCCGATTAATTTTTCCAATTACGTTTCCCGATTAAATTATGGATACATCCGGTGAAATGTGCAGCTACCGATTAAATTTGATTGAAAAACCGATCGTATTTTTCATCGGATAATTTTCTTGCGTGGAGCAATACTTTTTTTTATGCGGATTAAGATACTCTCTTATCAGCGTACGTCGCGCCGTCGGCGCGTGCCAAGTGTCTTCCTTCGCTCGCTGCAACAAGGATAAGATACGATTCGCGGAGATATGCGTTATAAATAAGTCATAAGGGGTGGCCACGTGGGACGTGAACGCGCCGTCGATGGACGCGCGGCGGCGCTGGAAATCCGGGATTTCCACAATGCGGATCGCGGAGTACGAATTGCCCTAACTCGGTGATAAGCCGCTGATTATACGCGAGTGATAAGATATTACGGCCGTGCGCTGACGCATTACCGGCAACGCGGGGAGTTTGTATATCGCGCTCGGCGAGTGGCGCGATACGCGGGCGCGTAACGTTATCACGGAGGCGGTTCTAAGGTGTAATCTGCGGGGATAACAAGGAGGTTAGCGAGGCAAGATTGGCGTCAATATCGTTACCGGGATGCGCGCGTGCGAGAGAGACAGAGAGAGGGAGAGAGGGGGAGGGAGGGGGCGAGAGAGGGCGGGAGGTCCGCAATAAAGGCGGGCGTAATAATGTCGCGCGCGATCCCGTCCTCTCCTCCCACGTGTATCCGGCGTCAAAATGCAGGGAGCCATTCCCGGATTATGCGCTTCTCGGTATTGTCTTGCGTCTATTGACTGCCGCCTTGGAGCCGCGCCGCGGAGAGACAGTTTCCGGATACGTCATTTTCGAGTCCGCCGAGTGGAATAAGGAGCAGCGAGGTGCTCCACTCGTGTACAATAAGAATTAGACTATTAGCCCGGTCGATTCGTATCGAGCGCGGCCGGTGATCCTCGTGGAGGCGACAGTCAAGATCCGTTCGGGGGAAACGGCGGCGTGGACCGCGCGTGCGAGCGCACGTGCGCGGAAAGTAACGCGAGCGACGACGCGCGCGGATAAAATGGTGCACCGGGACCACCGGGACACTCGAGTGACGTTTCCGAACGCTGCAGCTTTAATTACGCGCGTTCGCGGAGGACACCTGCGCGCAGAGGGTATCGCACGCTCCGCCTCGCGATCGTTCAATCCGCGCGTCGTAAACACACGCGTTCGCGCGGCAGCGCGAAACAGAAAAAGACAGGCAGGGGTGCGACAGAGCGAGAGAGAGAGGGGGGGGGAGGAGGGTGAAAACGAGCGAGAGCGAGGCAACCGCCACGTATTCTTCGCGGAAATTCTGCCGCGGTGACTTCGCGAGCGATATCGAGTTTCGCCCCGTCTCGTAGTCGTCGCGGCATTGTCGGCGAAAATCCTATTCACCGGCGGTGGCGACGGCGGTGGCAAGCGCGATTCCGCCTCGCACAAAAGCCAACCGTTGCCACCCCCGCCGCACCCGCCACCCCCGCCGCCCCGCAAAATATGTGATTCGCGAAGCCGGGCTTAAGATCCCCGCCGGAACCCCGCTGGTGTCGCGTAAACTTGCATTCTCACCATCCATCGCGGCTCGCCACTCTCCGGGGTGGATCGGCGATGCTGCACCATCCCCCTCCCCCTCCGAGCGATACGCGCGCCAGGCCCCCTCGGCCGCGAGGAACCTTTGCAGACGGCACATTCTCCCCCGCGATCGAACGTATCTGAAGGGCGCGGGCGGGAGGAAACGCGCCACGCTCTTTGTTCTTTCGCAAACGCTCGTTTCCGCCGTTTAAGCACGCCGTTCCTAGACAGCTCTCTCTCGCCCTCGGTATATTTTTACGCCGCCCGCGAGATCGTCGCAGACGCGCGGATCGCGCGACCGCGTAATTCCATTCGCGGGGAAACGTCCTCCTCCGAGCGGGCCGTGCGAACTCGGTTAGCCCCATTTCGCGCAGCGTCGACGAGTCTTTCCTCCCCCCGATAACGCCACCGCCGGCGCGCTATTTATCGGCTCACGCCCGTGAGCGGCTTCTAACCGGCGCATGTAACCGCGTTCGCATCGTTCCTCCCTGAAGAAGCCACGTCGGGAAGGAGGAGGCGTGCCGAGAGAACGCCGTAGGATCCGGGGGAGAATGGCAAATTGAATCCCGCGGAAGCGTGTCCCGACGAAGCCCGGGCTCCCTCTGCGGAAAACGACACCGTGTCTCTCCATACTCTCCTTCTCTCTCTCTCTCCCTCTCCCTCTCTCTCTCTCTCTCTCTCTCTCTCTCTCTCTCTGTCTCTTTCCTTTCCTCTCCTGCGCTCGAGATCGATGGAGAATCGAGTTATCGGCCTTAGTAGATCGAGCGTACCTGCGCCGCGTTAACCCACGAAACTTTATTGGCAATGCGCCGCACCGCGCGAACCCACGCGTGCCCGGACTCGCGATCGCTCTGTGAATTCCGTGAAAATCGA